GGGGGGGGGGGGGGGGGGGGGGGGGGGGGGGGGTTTGGCAGCTCGTGCTCGGAAAGTTGACCACTTGTGCTTGCTTGCTTGTTTTGAGGTATCGGATCAAGATACCCTCAGGAGGCCTCTGGAATTGAGCGATAGCAATAGCAGTAGCAATAACAACGTGAGACGATAATCATGACCAATGTTGAACAATGGGACATAAGACCCGTACCGTACCGTACAGCACGCTTGGGAGGTACCAGGTTGCCGATAGGGCCACTTGGAATTGGTTTGCTTGCTTGATTTGAGGTATCAGATAACGATAGAGAGATAAAGATAGAAGTAAGAATATCGAATTCCGAGTTCCAGCTCGGTCTATGCGCATCCACCAGGGAGAGCGCCGACCCATACGCCATACGCTTCCAAGAGCTTGTTCCACTCCCCCTTCCCTTCCCCCATATGCATCCTCTTGCTCCGCGTGCTAGCTAACGACCCTCCCTCCCAGCCAAGGGAGTACCTTTTCCCCCAGTTCCTTTGCCCAGGGCCAGAGCGCCCACCAGCCTGCTGCGAAAACGACGCCCCAGAGTGCGCCTCCCAGTACTTGAGGCAGCGTATGATGTCCCATTGTGATCCTGCTCGCGGCAACAGCTAGCGCATAGGGGACGTACAATCCCGGCAGGGCGAGGCGGAGCCACTCGGGTGGGGAGGCAGGAGTGGGAAGGAGCGGGAGAGGGAGGAATGAGAGGGCGGTGAAGGATAGGAAGAGGGAGGAGAGTGTGAGGTAGAGGGATTGGAACGCCATTGCGCTTGTGTGGGTTGAGGGCATGCCGTATGTCAATGGGCGTGGGGAGCCTGGAGGTCGAGGATGGCGGAGGAGACGTTTGAGTGCTTTGGCTAGCGCGTAGTGAGGGTTAGCGGTTACTGGTAGGGACAGGGCAGGGGGGGGGGGGGGTGTACCGGATAAAGAGCACAAGAGAGTTCCTATTCCGAAGTATGCAGCGTGGAATGAACGAGTGAGGATGACGTAGAGGAACGTGCCTGTGCTGACGAGGATGTTGGCCTGTGATTTGGGTGAGTGGGTAGAGGGAGGGAGGGAGTGAGAGATACTTTGGATAGAGGGAGGAGGTACCATGGGGATTTGACGGTCATTGTGAGGTGAAGAATGGGGAATGATGATGACGATTGATGGGGTATTAGTAGGATATCATCATGACGTTATCGTTCCATAGAACCAACACAGGGGGTGTAGCATCATCCACCAAGCGGGCCGATCGAGAGAGAAGAGTGAGATCGACCCTGTCAAGCACGTGGGGCAACAAAGGAACAAAAGTGATCTACCTGGTCAGTTCACTCTTCACCTTACTACTCTCTCTTTCACTCACTCGGCAGGTCCGACTTTCACTGCTTTACTTTACTCTCACTCAACACTTCACACTCAGACGCAATACAGAATGAGACTACCTTGCATGTCCCTCCTCCTCCTTCCCTTCCTCACCCTATCCCTCGCAGCTCCCAACAGACGAGCAACAACATGCAACGGTTCACCCCTCGTCAGTCCTCCCCTCCCCTCCCTCCCACAAGCACTCCCTAACCCCTTCCAGCTATGCTCCCGCCAATACAGCAACATCACCTTCATAGGAGCACACGACTCTTTCGCTCTCTCCCCCTCTCTCGCAGGCAATCAGGACTACGACCTAACCCAGCAACTCACAGACGGTATCCGGATGCTGCAGAACCAGGCTCACTCCGCGAACAACACGATCGAGCTCTGTCACACCTCTTGTTCCTTGCTAGACGGCGGCTCGCTCGCGATTTATTTAGGGAAACTCAAGGTTTGGCTAGACGCGAACCCCGGGGAGGTAGTCACCCTCCTGTTGGTAAACAACGACGACCTCCCCGTCTCCCAATTCGGCGCGGTACTCCAGTCTGTGGGACTGGACACTGTCTCTTTCAACCCTGGGAAAGCGAGTTTGACACTTCAGGAATGGCCCACTCTGGGGCAGATGCTCGATCAGGGGACGAGGCTGGTGACGTTCATGGATACGAACGCGGATTTCCAGAGCGTGCCTTACATTCTTGATGGTTCGTCCCCCCCCCCCCCCCCCCCCCCCCCACC